CCCCACCAGATGGTGCTCTAGGTGTGTGCACTGTCCTCTTCTTCTCAGGTCCAGGGGGTGCAGTGACCACTCATCCCCACCAGATGGTGCTCTAGGTGTGTGCACGATCCTCCTCATCTCCGGACCAGAGAGGTGCAGTGACCACTGCTTCCCACCAGATGGTGCTCTAGGTATGCACACTGTCCTCAGGACCCTTGGCGTCCCACAAGCCCCGCCCCTGGACCGCTCACTTCCTGCTCCTGCCCCACCCCTGCAGTGCTCCGCTCCTCCTCCTAGCCTGTAGCTGCAGCTAATTCTGCCCAGGACACTGTAAAACGTGAAGCCCTGATGAAGTGTCCCAAAGCCTCAGTGCCAAAGACAGACCAGCCTCTGTTTGGTCCTGCTGCAAACTGTAGTGTCCGAACCCCAGAGCAGTCTTGTCCCAGTGTTACAGGGAAAGGAGTCCACCGCTCAGACAGCCTCAGGTAAAAAGATGACTTTATTGGGGAAATGGAGAGCTAACCGGCCAGGGATGCAGCACAGACTCAGGAGCTAAAACTGTGACCCCAAACAACCCACAAGCTAGGATTTTTAAAGGCAACATCCACATGGTCCAGCCTGGCCACGCACAGGTGGCCAACGGGATTGTAACACCACACAAGGGTTGCATGTTTATGTCCGTGGCTGGTGGGTTACAGTCTGACTCCTAGGAACTGTTGGAACTAACCTGTCCTTCTGGCTTGAATTGGCGGGCAAATGTGGGGTCCCCACACAAAGCAGGAGGATATTCTTACTCTTAGGGTTTGTATAGTCCAGAAACATGATGTCATATGCCCCTGCATCCTTGAAGCTGGGGGTTGTTACAAAGACAGCTACAGGAGCTTTATTACAGAGATAGCTACAGGAGGGTACACAATGTGCACAGTGAGGCATCGACTCCCTTGAAGCAGGAGGCAATCGATCACGGGGTGGGATGCACAACGTTGCACAACAGGCACCGTTCTAATTGGGCAGGGTATGACACAGGGCAGAAGTCCATGTGAAATACGTTTTAAGGTCTCCCTCCATGACCTCTCTTTGTTTTTAGTAAACGGTCAACTTCTCAGCTTAGTTTTCCTCACACAGTCTGGGACCTTAACAGTCTAGGAGACCCTTCCCCCTACACCAGCTCTCACTGAATTGTCACAGTGTCAGCTCAAGCCAGCAGTCAGGGCCAGCAGTGATCTGCTGGGTGCCCAGGAAGGAGATGGGGAGCCCCATCAATAGGGAGGTCAACTAGGGAGGTATAGGCTGCCAGCAGAGGCAGGAACATTGTAACGGGTTGTGTTCCCAAAGTTCATATATAGATACTCTCATCACCCGGTACCTGTGAATGTGACCTTACATGGAAATGGACTCTTGGCAGGAGATCAACTCCAGTTCCTGCTGTTATTGTGCCCCTAAAAGGGGGGAAATTGGGTCCCAGAAATGCACCCAGAGCCTATCCTCTGTAGAGACCTTGCTCTCAGGTTTGGAAACTAAGACCTACATGACCTCATGGCTAGCATTTCTCTTACTTCCCCTGTGTTTCCATCACCAAGAAACTGTTTCAGGCCTCCTTCCTGACGGGAGAGTAGATGTGCCATCAGTAATATCTGCCCTGTGCAGCACGCTCCTCTGTCCCTCGGCGTGCCTCACTTCAATGTGACTTTGTGGCTGGTGGCTGTTCTCACTAAACACTGGGCATGCATACTCAGCACTGCTTTCCAGCCTGGTACCCTAACTCCTGTTTAATCAACAGGTACCCGGATGCTCCATTCTCTGTAGAACGCAATCTTCTAGGAGGTGGAGCACATTAAAGAGATAGATCCTTCAGATAGAGATGCAAATAGAAGAGAGAGTGTATAAACACTTAGCTACAGCTTGAACTTCCTAATGAGAGCTGGACCTTAACTCTGTCGAGGCTGAGCGTCTCTAAGGTTGCCTGTGGGTAGCTGTCACTCTGCATTCTCTTTGCTAAGCACTATGCTAATTTCAAAGTTTAAGAAACAACTACATCTCCGAGACAAGTCCTTTTAGAGCTGAAGGGCCTGGATAATGCAACAATATACGTCTTTTATGTAATTCAATAAAAATCACTTAGTTCCACCCTCAAAAATGAAAAAAGAAACTAAGACCTAGAACACACCGTGCCTTGTACCTCCAGAGGTAAAGTGGTCCAGAAGACACTGACTCCGTGACGCTGGATGCAGAGCTGTGACCAATAGCATTAACAGTCTTGGTCAGGCGGACCTGGTCAAGATGATGTGTTTGTGAGGCAAGGTTGCTTTGCTCTGTAGCCTTGCTTGCACTGGTAGCAGAGCGAAGCCCACAGGGGTCCCGCCGCCGTCCTCCAGTGAAAGGCCGCCACCGAGTGGCTCCCTAGGGGCAGCTAAGGAGAAACACTGTCTATCACATTATTGCATAGGGTGTTTGCCCGCGATGCGCTGACGGTCACGGCAGGAAGAGGACGCGAGCGGCCGCACCATCGATCGATGACGGTCACGGCAGGAAGAGGAAGCGAGCGAGGGCAACCCGGGCCGCGGCTTCCCCCCCCACCCGCCCCCACGCTAGGGCAGGGACGGGGAGCGGGGCGGGGCCGGGACCTGGACAGGGAGGGGCGTGGCCGGAGCGGGGCGGGGCCG